ACACTGGTAGAGACATGCGGCAGCTTTGCTGTAGTTGGACGTATGGGCCGGCTCAAACCTGGGTGATATCACGATCTCACAGAATAACGTCGTGAAGTGGAAACTCAGCTTCCGCGTTTCGTCTGGTGAGTGTAAGTGGCCGAAGGCCCAATCTCCCCCCCCCCTAACATGGTAGCGGAATTAAGTGAAGTTACTCCACTCCTAAGCGTGGGTGCTCCGGCTACCCCACATATTCTGGGGGGGGGGCAAAATTCCGCTCAAGACAACAACTGCTCGGGGCAAACTGAGCAACAAGACCAAGGCGACCCCTGCCACGCTATGCGTGAATTTCTGCAACATCAGGGGACTTAAATCTAACCTAAACGCCGTCCACTATCATCTCGAGACGGCGAGGCCGGCTCTGCTCTTTATGACCAAGACGCAGGTCTCCTCCGGCTGATGTCTCGTATCTCTCCTACCCGGGGTACAAACTGGAACACTCCTTTGTGCCTCGGGCTGGAGTTTGCGTTTACGTCAGAGAGGACATCTGTTCTCGACGCCTCGGCAGACTTGAAGGTTTGGACCTGTCCATCCTTTGGCTACGCGTAGACAGCGACGACCATCCGCGCGTCTACGGGTGCCTCTATAGGTCCCATAGCGGTAATGCCGAAACAGACCGACTCTTCGACCATGTCCAAATGGCTACAGATTCGTTGCTACAGCAGATCCCCGCAGAGATCGTGATCCTCGGCGACTTTAACACCCATCACGCCGAATGGCTTAGTTCACGTTTAACCGATCATGCGGGGAGATCTGTTCATGATTTTGCCTTGGCATATGGTCTGACACAACTGGTTACTTCGCCTACGCGGATTCCAGATGTGGAGGATCATGCACCTTCCCTGTTGGACCTTCTGCTGACCTCTCACCTGGACAGATATCAGATTTCCGTCGACGCCTCTTTAGGCTCCTCTGACCATTGTCTTGTCCGGAGTGTGGTGCCAATCACGCTGAAATCGCGGTTGCATTCTGCAGGCTGTCGCCGTGTTTGGCACTATAGGTCAGCCGATTGGGATAGGATGCGGTCTTTCTTTGCATCCTACCCTGGGGGGCAGATTTGCTTCTCGCCGGACCATCCCAACGTTGTTGCTGGTTCTGTCGCTGATATGGTACTTCAGGGTATGAAACTTTTTATTCCTTCCTCTGTGGTGCCCATCGGAGGCAAATTTCAGCCATGGTTTGGTCGCTCCTGTAAAATAGAGACCAGAATGCACGGGCATTCATTCATGTCAGCCATCTCTTCCATCTCTGCACAAGGATGACGACTCAATGGTCCATGCCGCAAAGGAGAAAGTCGAACTGCTAGGCTCTTTCTTTGCGTCCAACTCGACTCTCTATGATGGGGGGAGTACGCCGCCGACCACCCCGCGGTGTGAGTGCTCCATGCCGGAGGTGCGGTTTACATAGCGCTAGGTTCGCAAAGCACTCCTCTCCCTGGACATCCACAAGTCGAGTGGGCCTGACGGTATCCTCCCAATTGTGCTGAGGACGTGTGCTCCAGAGTTGGCCCCGGTCTTAACGCGTCTTTTCTGGTACTCCTACTCTCTAGGCGTAACCCCAAAATCAAGGAAGACGGCTTTCATCAACCCGATCCCTAAAAAAGCGGCCGCTCAGACCCATCCAACTACAGGCCCATCGCCATCACCTCCTTGTTCTCCAAAACAATGGAATCATTGTAAACTGCCAGCTCATGAAGTACCTTGAGTATCACCAGCTGATTAGTGATCGCCAACACGGTTTTCATCGTGGTCGATGAGTTGGTGATCTTCTGGTCTACCTGACGCATAGATGGGCGGCGGCAGTAGAGTCCAAGGGGGAGGCATTGGCCGTTAGTTTGTATATTGCGAAGGCTTTCGATTGGGTTTGGCACAAAGCGCTTCTTTCGTAGTTCCCTTCCTGTGGGTTTCCCGCGAAATTATGTAATTGGATCACCAGCTTTCTTGCAGATCGGATCATCAAGGTCGTTGTAGACGGTGCAAGCTCCGATTGCAAGCCTATTAATGCTGGTGTTTCACAAGGCTGCGTGCTATCACCGACGCTGTTTCTTCTGCATATCAACGATATGTTGCAAACCTGCAACATTAATTGCTATGCAGATGACATCACTGGTGATGTTCTGTACACCGGCTGTGCCAATCTTTCTCGGTAAAACGTCCCCGAGTACTGGGACAAACTTGTGTCTGAAGTCAAGTCTTTGCTGGACAAATTCTCGGATTGGGGGCGACTAAATCTAGTCCATTTTAACCCACAGAAGACACAAGATTACGCGTTAACCACTAAAAAGAATCTCTTTGTCGTATCTCTTTAGTTTCAAAGCAATCCTTGGCGTCGATATATCGAGTGACGTGCAGTTTCGTGGTCACTTGGAAGAGAAGGCTAAATTGACCTCTAAAAAGCTTGGCGTGCTCAGCAGAGCGGGACAGTATTTCATGCCGGCACGCCGCCTGCAACTTTACAAGGGGCAGGTTCAGCCGCACATGAAATACTATTCCCATCTCTGGGCTGGAGCTCCCCAGTACCAGCTCCTTCCACTTGACCGCATCCAGCGCAGAGCGGTTCGAATCGTCGACGACCGAGTGCTTTTCGATCGGCTCGATTAATTGACGCTGCGAAGAGATGTTGCATCTCTTTGCATTTTCTTTCGCATATACCATGGGGAGTGGTCTGAGGAATTGTTCGGATTAATCCCAGCCGCCAAATTTCATGAACGCACTACGCGGTAAACCTCCCGATACCATCCACACCATCTGGATGCTTGGCAGTCCACCAGTGTACGTTTCACTAGGAGTTTTCTTCCGTGTACGACCTCTCTGTGGAATAATTTACCACCGGCGATTTATCCGGACCGATACGACTTAGGGACCTTCAAGAAAGGAACTTATTCCTTTCTAAAAGGCCGGCAACGCACCTGCAATTCCCCTGGTGTTGCAGTTGTTCATGGGCGGCGGTAGTCACTTAACATCAGGTGAACCGTATGCTCGTTTGCCCCCTCTCCTATAAAAAAAACGTGGTGGAGCTACGCCGTAGTTATATTATGGTTGTAGCAGAAAAATGTCGGCTCCACCGGGAAAAAAACACGTTTTCACTGAAGACTAGCGTAAAATAGCAGTTTAACTCTATTGTGTTTCATACGGTGAATTTAGAGAAAGGGAGACCCTTTTGCACTAGAAACGTGGCTTTCTATCTTAGCCCCAAGGGTGACAACGCATCTGCATGTATTTTCCTAATCGAGGATACGTGAAAATGTCTATGGGCCACAGCATCCACTTTCCATCAGGAGGACTGTACACTAGGTTATCCCCCTAGTCCGCTAGTTCAATCGTAACAACTTATATAAGATATAGTTAAACCAGTTCATAATGGATTAATATTTTTGTCCTAAACTGCGCATAAAGTATATTCATCCAAAAATAATTAGCACATTTTTTTACGCTAATATAAATACTGAAGAGGTGTGTTAGAGTTATAAATACTATATTTTCATTATAATTTTTTCAAGAAAACCTTTACTGTCACTGCTGTGCGTTAGTGGAACTCTTTAACACATCCGTCGTGCTAAATCTTTAAATTTCTGTGCTAAAGCTCTTAAATCTTTCAAGTCTTATTAAATCGTATTATTTTCTTATAATGCTATTAGCTAAATTACTCTACCTTTTACTCTCTCTTATTACCTACCTTCTACTTCTCTAATCTCATTTAAATACTTTGTTATGTTAGATATTATTGGAACATATCTATATTTATATGTATTTATCTCCTCTATTTTAACCAAAAAGCCTCAAGACCTGGCCTGTTGTACATATTATACTCTAAATTGTACTCTACTTGTTTTCTATATTTTGGTGTACACTAAAGGATAATTAAATAAATAAATAATTATCTTAAAATGGTGGAAACAACATTTTAACACACCAATGAAACCGATACACTTTTATAATTAGGTACAATATAAAATGCATGAACTGATTTAATAAAAACTTTATCGAAATACAGAAGTTCATAATTTTTAAAGGCTTATTTGTATATATATATATATATATATATATATATATATATATATATATGTGTGTGTTAGTATGTGTATTGTGTGCGTGTATGTGTTGCTTGTTTAATTAAACTTTGACATTCGATGTCTTTATGCAAACTTCTACATTCACGCGGACCGTTTACTACATATTAAATAAAATATGTAGTTTTACAGATTTTAGCGCGTTTTGTAAAACTTAGATTATGTTAGTTTTGTCCAAAGCCTTCTTATTGATAGTTTGATAAATTTTCCTGTCTTATCACATGAACTTCTTCCAGCTCTCACTGCTTTTGTTTTTGTTTTGCGATGTAATTCATTTTTAAAAGCTTAATATTTTTTCTTTCTAATGGTAAGTTTATATGTTTTTACGTGTAACTATTAGGATAGTAGTTAGTACCTAACTAAAAAGTGCGTGTTGTGTAGAACACACTTCTAAAACTTTCTAGGCCTATTGTGCATACGCATAAAAGGTACTAACTACTTTTTTATTAGGTTACAATAAGGAATAAATAAGTGGTAATAAGATAGATATTATGAAATCGCAAACGCATCGAAATATGTAAAATATTTATAATATCCATTTTTGGTTTCAACATTTAAAAAAAAAAGTAAACTTTGAGTCTCACAAAATTTCATCTAATGCTTGAATAAAATGTGGCATTTTCTCTATATTTTAAGGACTAAGCCACAATATTAACGTTTCGTAAAATTTTACTTCCAATTTTTTGTCAGAGACTTATTTGCATTGACTACAAAAAATTAAGATAATTAATGTAAAGTTAAAATAAAAATTGAATTTTTGCATTATTATATACCATATAACATGCAGATACGTACTTAATTTAATATAATTGTTAAAATTGCAAGCAAATATCTTGATGTACAACCTCTTGGAAATAAAGAATTTATTATTATTATTATTAAATTTACATACCAATATTTTCATTTGCACCGTTCGATCTTATTGATACTGTATCTTCTTCAGTTGACGGCGGACCTATAGGTTCGTCCGGTGGTTCGTCTTTTGGTATAGGTGGATGTGTGGGAGTTGGCGTTTCGATCGAGGTTTCTGACCTAAATCTGCGGACTGACAGCAAAGGAGATATTCTAGGAGGCGATGCGTCTGGCATCTCCCTGGGATCACGTGTATCTCGCAATTCTCTCGGATCACGTACTTCCCGTAAATCTCGTGGTTCCCAATTATCCCTTGAGTCACCTAACTCTCTGTGGTCTCTGGAATCCCGCAGTTCGCGAGTTTCTCTCGATTCCCTTATTTCTCTATGGTCACGAGACTCTCTTAACTCACGATCCCTTTGCTCTCTTTCTCGTTGCAAATCTCTACCCTCTCTTGTTTCCCTTGTGTGATTGTCTCTTCCGTCGCGACTTTCTTTACAATCTCTTTCTCTAGCTTCTTTGACATCCCGCCTTTCTTCTTTTACCCTAGTTTCTCTATTATCTAATCTTTCGAGCGGTTCTGTACATTCTCTCATATCTTGAGGATGACCCTCCTCCATCGGCTCTGGAACGTTTCGAGTGTCAATGCCGGCTGCGCTTAAAGTGGTCATTTCAGCTAATCCTTTGACCTGAAAAATATGACAATTTTAGTTAAAAACTTTAAAGCAGTCTTATAGTATATACGTTGTCATCCTTAGGTTTTTGTAGCAATGGCTAGCCCTTTGCGTACACATTTGTTGCGCTTTTTTAGACTTTCGTTTGACTACTTCAATAGTTTTGTGGTCGTAAGCGGGCTTCGGGTTTATCTCTCAATAAATTTTAGTAGCAGCCCGTTCTTCGGATAGCGCTTATAACCGTTGATCCTGCGCTTCAGCTCCCTCCGGTTGTGTTGAATTGTGAATATCAGGAAGAAGAGAGTGCACTTATGCTTGCGCGTGCACGTTGCACTTATACACACTCGTTCATTGTTAATCTGCGCTATCATATCATACCCCTACTTATATAATATATTTAAAATGACCTTGGTTGCACCTGAGGTTGGAGGAAGTTTTAAACACATACGACTTTTTTAATAGATTGTGTCAAATAAACAAACCTAAAAGTACAAGTATTTAGCTAAGAAATTACATGTAATTGTATAAAAATTAAAAATCATGTTGAAAGTAATAGCCTCCTAGAAGTATGGTAGTAAAATTTAATATGAACAGTACGTGCATGAATTATATACCAAAGTCTAAATGCATCTGAGAGAAAATGTGTTGCTTTGACTATGTACTGTATAACACTTATTCCCATTTGCATTTTAAGGGGATATAGTAAGTCAGCTCAAATTCTAATTTCACCCCCACTTCCCCGCGCGTCGTATGCTATGTACCGACATGTTTGTAATCACTAATACTGTAAGTAGATAGGTCGTTAGATACTTATTTCATTAGGTTTATCATATTTGTGCCTGTTTCTTAACGCCAACCTAGTCGCTTCTTATTTTTATTACGGTTATTTCACATTTTAATTTTACGTCGTCCTGTTGGGTAATGTGTATTCTGAATGTAAGCGACACAACCTCCCCCTTCAAAGGCCGAAACGAAACTGTCCGGGCGGCAGGAATCAAGCTTCAAAAAGCCGATAGTTTAGGTAATTTGTTTTTACAGTGAAAATAATGGTATTTAAAAAAAAGTAAATAACATAAGCACTGATTTATAGTTAGTTCAGTTAGTATGCAAAGTTTCATGATCTTATTTAAAGTATTTTATGAGTAACAGCGGTTTATTGTTTATTTTGGAGGTAACTTTGGATTTTTTCTATCGAGAAAATTTTACGGAATCGTGTTTTCATCTAACATAGTCCTTAACATTAATCCTCAATACTTTTTATTATTACACTGATATAAATTTTACACAAAGGAGTGCAGCTATACATTAACTTAGGTAATTACATAAAAGTGTTTAAAAACAAGCTAAAAGACATGTTTACACATTACTATCTTCTACTATTTAGTTATAAATTAAGCATCATACATCATTAAACATCAGAGGCTATGTCAGATTTTTTTATTATATATAATTTACTGTGTATCTCATTATAAGTGAAACTCTGCTTCTTATGAGAAATAAACTCTTCGAACCTAAATAATTTATATTTTCTTACAGCTAAAAAGTTTCTTCATAAATACTAGAAAATTAATTAATTTTTATTTATTTTTATTTTTATTATTTACAGCCACAGTCCACACAAAAGTCCACTGTTGAACATTGGCCTTAGTTACCACGTAAGCGGGGTAGGAACCGCAATGTTTTTATTATTACTGCGATCTTATCAGAATCTGCTTCTGCCTAACTCCTGTTTCTGTTTCCATTTGTCGCCTTTTGCTGTAAAAGACTCACGGTAATATGGAGTAGCAGATTATCTAACGCTTCCACTAGACGGCGTAGAAAATAATTTTGGGTTAGGGTTAATACGGCAAGAGTGTAAAGAACAACAGGAAGCTATAATTGGTGATTGTAAAGAAGATGTGATTGGCGATATCCTAAATAACGAGGACTTGTCGTACACGTTTTGTCGTATGACTTCGTGATCGCAATAGACCCTCGTAACGTAGACGCTGATCTCGATGCCGCGTAGAATTTGTTAAGTTTTTTTTTTTTAAATTTCTATACCAGATGCTAAAGATTTCCCTGCTTAGCTGATTATAGGACACTCATTTGAAACAAAAGTGCTGTAATTTCCATTGTCGACAGAATGTGGTATAAAAATAATAATAATGAGAATGTTGTAATTAGTCAGCCAACCGATGCTGCTTACCTGAAGGCTCTCAGCAATTTTAAGGAGAGCAGGCAGTTGACAATACTGGACGTTGACCTCGCCCTTGTACATGAAGTCGACCAGCGTTCGCAGCTCTTCTAAGCCAACGTCCTTCAAGATTACGATAGGGTGGCGCGATGGATGGTCTACGAACAGCGATCGGAAGTACGATGAGCACGCTGACAGTACTACCTGAAATTTATTTAACCCATTTTATTACATTTTATATACAACGTTAATAATTATGTTTATTGTAGACTTTCTGCTACATTGTAATGTAGAAAGTTCACGATGTCTTTTATCAATAAACAATGATTTTTTTCTTCTTCCGTAAATTACCTTGAATGAGAGTTAAAAAAGTTAGTATAAGTTAGATAGGACTAACGTTTGGTAAAATTATTCAATAATTGGATTTTAAATGTATTATTTAGGTAATAGTATATTATGAAATAAAAAACATGTTATTGCAATTTGTTGCTGGTTCAAAATGATTGAATTAAATTAATTACAGACAAATATTTACTGAAAATTAATACAGAATATAAGAAAAAGAAGTGCCTGTAACCCCCTACATGCTATTGTAATTAAAACTAATTAATATTAGTAATTACATATTTTTCTTACCTATATTTATTTTTTGGTTATTTTATATCATTTTTTAAATATAATTTATTAGTTATTAAAAATATTTGTCAATAAATAATAATTTTATATATATATATATATATATATATATATATATATATATATATATATATATATATATATATATATAGTATAGTTAGCCAGTCACTGTCTTTATACAATGCAAAATTCCTCGATTCGAACCTAAAGAAGTACTAGAACTTCCAAAATTCCGTACATCGCTTTCTCAGCAAAAGGACGACATGCTCTGAAATTCCAACGTAGCATGCGATTATAGGCAAAGATTTAAATCTTTGATTATAAGTACATAATTTTTAAGTTTATGGAGCGGACCGTTGCGTCGCGTCCGCGCTGCTCGTCGTGTTAGCTGACTGACTATATTCGTTGGCGCAGAAAAAGATGTAATTAAATAAGCAGGCATGAAGACGTTAATAACTTAATTCATACGTCAGGGAATATATGAATAATTAAAAGAATTGGGTGTTTAGTAGAGCCGGGCAATGTAATCTTGGCGGTGAGCCATCGCAGTCTGTTTCTCCTGATTATGCCTCGTTTGGAGGCAAAACAAGTGTCGCATTATGGACAGTGATATGTCATTCCTACTGTTGGGATTAGTAGTGACGGGTTTTCTTATTTAATATCTTTATTCATATAAAAACACACATTTACTGTAATAATAATGTCATCAAAAACATAACTTGTACTCATTTCATCCACCGTAAAGCGTTGTGAGGTCCATGTAATACCAAGTCGGTTAATTTATTCAGTCCCTACTTAAGGGTCCTTCTCTTTTAAGTTATTACGTAATTAGCTAACCTAACAACATCTTATAGTGACCATATCAATATTAAAAACCGTTTATGTTTTAAATAAATAGAGATTGACTTGGCCATCGCATGAAAACACAATGTATCTCACAAGTAATTAGATTGTATAGTATATAGTATAACTGATAATACGACGTCATTGCTTGTTTGTGTGCTCCCGGCGACGCCGATCCTCGTACAAAATAAGATTGACAGCCATTCTATTGTGCATTATAGTATACTATGGAGTAGACATTCGTATGTATGATCAATTATATTTATGTTTAATTTAAACTGCTTAACGACGTTACTGTGGGGTGAGTTTATGTACATAGCCTTTGTTTTAGATAAGTTTATAATTATACCAGAGAGAAGATGATCTTCAAACTAGGTAAGACAAATCATTTTTATTTATTACGGGGATTTTAGCTAAACAATTTTAATCTAAAATTTATTTAAATTTTAGATGTTAAAATTGTTTATGTAATATGTAATTTAATAAATTTATACTATACGACACAACTTGCTATTATATCCATTATTCGCGATTATACATGTTTTTAAAATATCTGTTTATTTGAAACTACAGTAAAAAGAGTATCGAACCTTATGAGCCCTTATGGAGGCACCTTCGGAACAGGCGAGCGTAACGTCCACCAAGCTCTCGTCGTGCAGCAACTGGCTGAATACTCCCAGCAGGTTGCTCTGATGATTGTTCCACCTCAGGCAATAGTGCTCACTTCCCATGTCTGAGCTAGCTCCCGCCGCTATTAAAAAAAAATGAAAATATTTTATATTTTTAAATAACATCCTCTGTTGCTTCAGTGTGGCATTTAATATGAAAAAAAAAATTTAACTTTTATCTTCTATTTGTAGCTTAATATTATCAGGTAGAGGTGACGTAAGATAATTCATTAACTCATTTCGTCCCATAGCGGTCGATGGTAGGCGACTTTGGAGAATAGCAGAAAAGCCTCGACCACGATTCAGACCGCCAACGGGAAGTCTTTATGGGAAATTTAGCCACTGCTAGCTTTTAATATTTATTTAGGGATCCAATCTCGAGTATCGTTTAAAGCAGGCGATGTCCTTCATACTAACTACAATTTGTAGCCTAACAGATTCTCACCTGGACCTCTCAGTATTCAAGTCTTATGAAGTACGACTAGAGGCAGAGTCTCACACACACACACACACACACACACATATATATATATATATATATATATATATATATATTGATAAAATCATATGAAACCACCACGGTTTTAGGTTTAAAAAATTATAGTTAAGCACGGTTACAGCGTCACGTGTGTAAATGGTAGAGCCACGCTGAAGATATATTATAGTTGTAGCACGAATGGGTCGGCTCGACCGTGGTCCTGCCACACTCTCACGGAATTCCAGCGTAAAATAGCAACGTAATGCTGCTGTGTTTCGTATCGCGAGTGTAGAAAACCAAAGACTCTTTTTACTGGAATCGAGGCATTCCATCTTAGTTCTCAGGGATGACTAACTAATACTACTATATAACTACTAATTTTAATATTATTTAATATTTTGTGAAAGTTAAAATACCCGCTTGTTAAGTTCCAAGCATTTGTATATAAATTACAAAATGAACACAAGCGAGCAGCTCATATTTGCTACACCAATGAAATATATTAATTATAAGTATTGAATTTGTTAATTACTATAAGAGCTGCATGTTTGAGGAACAAAGAGAGAAAATCTTGAGCTTAAGCTTAATCTTTACAATGACGTAGGAAGACTGGGCCTGGTTGTGACATTTTTTTTATAAAGTGTCGCAATATTTTGTTTGTTTGATTGTTTTACGGGAATGTAGGTTTGTTTGATTAAGTAGTTATTCGGGTTATCAATTTAAAAACAATTTTCGATACCAGACTATTACAAGTGACATAAATGAATAAATTTTGGGAAAAGAGGCGTGTAACTTTTAGCCCCGCACCTGGTTGTTACACTATAAGGGGCAAAATGTTACAACAAAAACCAAATGTAATATAAACACTTTTTATTAAGAACAATGACAGTTTATAACAATTATTATGTATACAATGTCAAACTACATTTTCTATATAACAGTCCTTTGCCTCATTAAAATAAAAACACAGTAACTTTGTTGAACAAAATTATAATGTTATTTTTTAGCGTAAGTCTAAATAAAAATAAAATTTATAATTTTCGGATGGAAGTTACCTAAACTTCCATCCGAAAATTATACATTTCTTTATTAAAAAAGCTTAGTATAAATTGAACATGAACGAAAAATAAATAAAAAAATTACATTAGCAAAAAATAAATAAAGTTTCTATTTAAAAACAATCAGATCCTGAAATCTAAAAAACAGTTTAGTAACTATAGTCTAGACAATCACACAATTCAAGCATTATATAATGTTAAAAACATTAGGATAAAACATTTCCCTTAGCACATCTTACGTGTGACTATTATAAAAAACACACTGTACCCATTCCTCACCAGCTCGACTCTGATCAAACGGTTCACAACATATCAGGCAAAAATAATCATCTACACTTCCTTTGTCAGAGTCAGAGTCTTTAGAGATTTTACATAACTTTGTCAGAGTCATGTAAAACCTTTCTTTTCACCGAAATCTTCCTTGTTTCGTTAGGCGTTTTTTCCCAAGATAGACATACATGGTATCGAGTTTTTCACTGCATTTTCTGCTACGCTGAGAGTGACAAGGGTCCCTCTATCCGCTGATGTAATGGATCCAACTTGTTTGGACCCTTTTGGAGCCAACATTTTTCTAAGTTTCTACAACGTTGTCACGCCAGTCTCATCTACATTCCATATGCGCGACAGAGAAAATTTAAATCTGTCCAACACGTCTGCTGGCTTAGAAAAGAAAACTTATCGACGTTAGTTTTACTAAACGACGTAGCCATACTTAGGCTAGTACGACCGGTGATCTTACAGACAAAAACTGGTTCTGTTTTTAAAACGCTGTCTGCCAATCAACTGATGCTTCTTTATTCTCAAGCCATGATTGCGGCATTGCAATATTGTACTTAAGTGCACTGGCAAATGCTAGTTGCCTGACATCTTATGGCGTCAATCCGTCGTAAATTTGCCTGCTTTTAATCAAATAACTCATCAAAATGCCCTCTTGTTCATCGTTGAAAACTTGTCTATTCTTCTGGTAGCCAACTGTGAGAGATTCTATAGGCGTGCCCTTCTCTTTTACTTCTTTTCGTTTCTTCAAATATCTTGTTAGGGACATATGCCATAATCCAAGATCTTTTGCGATGCCACGATTTTTTTTTAGTTTTATCCTTTTCCAAAATAGCTGCTGCTTTTTCGTAAATCTCTTTAGATATTTTTCCAAGCTCAGTTTTTCTTTTATACGTCCTCATTCTCCAAAAAACTACAAATTATGTAGCTCCAAATATATCAGTCGACAAGCAGCACTACGGGGTAGGTAGTAACAACCTGCCCCGAGCAAATGTCACTTTTAGCCCCAACGCCAAAACTGACCTTTTAAGGTTAAGTAGTAAAACACAAATAAGTATAACTGTATAAACTTAGATTCGTTGCAATAAGACAGGATTAGGACACACATATCACAACACACACATATCTTCTTTAAAGGAAAAGATGTTTTAAACCAATATTACGGAAAAACGAAAATGTTAATAACATGCGGTTTTGACGGCAACATGTACGGGCTCCTCTCACAAAAGCCCTGACGCCACAGGCTCGCGCGGCGTGCTAGCCGGTGGTCGTGTGATCATTTGTATCTTTCTCACGTCAATATAGCGTTCTCAGCTTAGCCACCGTTGCCGCTGTAACTACCTACCCCTGTCACTACCAGCCCCAGTCTCCCTACAACACTTCTTGCTCAACACAAGTGTCGTACAAGTTTTGAGTTTAAACTCGAGGTTATTTCTGAATAAAAGCCTATGTTGCTATTGGTACTACGTTGATTCTAACCCAAGTCCACCGATCTAATTTCATATGTATAATACTTAGTACATTGATTAAATCAATCTAGTGACTTAATGCTTGCGCGTAAAACTTGCGGCACTATTATTATTTGCTAATTATACTTGTTAAAATCTTCCGTAGTAATTTTGAAGTCATCGGCATGTTAATTTATTTTTAAATTATCTGCCCGAGTAAGTAGCTTTATTAAAGACAAAAGTTCTGCCTTTTGCTTGAAGAATAACAATTCAAATATGATATGTGTGAGACAACTCTCAATGTCTAATATAAATTCTCTGAAATCAATCAAAACTTTTTAAGGTACGTATCATCAAGAAAAGTTTCTCTTGAACTGTAAATAAGTTTTTTTAACATAAAATAACCACTGTGTTGTCACCCATGAAGACTAAGATGGAATGCTTCTCAAGTGAAAAGGTTCTCCGATTCTCTACACTCACCATAGGAAACACAGCAGCATTAAGCTGCTATTTTACGCTGGTATTCTGTGAGAGTGTGGTCCTTTCCCGGCCGAGCTGCCCCATTCGTGCTACAACTATACAACTTATATAGCTGCATCTTGGCTCTACCATATTTTAACCTGTATGATATAAATAACCTATTTTGTTGGTTTTAAAAACTTTTACTTAAAAAAAACTGGAAAACGATTGACCCTACAGGCCATCCCTGGAACTTCCCGCTATGTTCGATCTCAAAACGCTCGACAAATATTTTTACGAACTAATAGTTAACTCATTACATCAAAAACGATTCGAGCAGAAATTTCGAAGTTATTAAAAAAAAAACAGCTTTTTTTGACAACGATAACTTTCGAACGGATCAACCGATTTTGATGTAATTGATGGCAATCGACGAGGTATTTAAGAACAATAATAAAATCTATTATAAAAAAATGATGACTATAAATTCAAAAGTTATATGAAAAAACACTTTTTTCGAAATTGTTCGTCGTCGATTTCTCATGCACTGACCGATTTTGAAGCAGTTCGCAGCAATCGACGTCCTTTTGCATGTTTAAGAGCTCATTAGATTTTAGAAAAGATCGTTACATCTGTTTGAAAGTTATTCCAAAAAATATTTTTTTTGAAAATTTCATTTTTGAGATTTCTCAAAATCTACCGGTCAGTTGAAACAGTATTGAAAATCTAAGTATGGTGAAACCCTTTCGAACGCCACCCAGTGGTAGAGTCACGCTACAGCTATATTATGGTTGTAGCATGAATAGGTCGGCTCGACTGGGGAAGGACCACGCTCTCACAGAATACTAGCGTAAAATAGCAGCTTAATGCTGCTGTGTTTTGTATGTTGAGTATAAAGAACCGGGGACCCGTTTTACTGGAATTGAGGCATTCCATCTTAGTCCTCAGGGGTGACAACGCATCTGCATTTTGATTTTTAATCGAGGTTAAATGTAGTCTGTGGGTCACAGCATCCCCATACCATCAGGTGGCATGTGTTATAGTAAAAACAGAATAATTCTGTTTTTACTATTATTTTATGCTCGTTTGTCACCCTTATTCGATTTAAAAAAAAAACGTGCTAAGGCAACACTTCTTGCGATTATCGATTACATTAGTCTCGGTAGCAATCCAGTTCACAAACTATGAAATGTCACTATTACTTGTATCTACTACTAAAAATAAACTTCGGACGCAACAGAGTTCTTAAAATGTACAGATGTGCAAATAGTAACATTAAATTAAAAACAGGAAATTAATTCCTAGTCGTAACCTTTACCACCTGCCTTCCATTTTATATGATGTTATTTTAAACTATGTCTCAT